TCTTGCGATGATTTGTGGCAGCCTAATAGAATGTTATATCGACTGCCTGACAAACCACAGAGTTGTAACGTGAATGCCCAAGACAGACAAGTGTAGGTTAAACTGAATGTAGCATTAGCTTTCGAAGATAGAACCTTGTAAAGTTTCGAGCTAATGCATGCCGATGTCGAAATATGTTTGATATTAGGAGCATAAGAATCTTCGTCTGTCCCTCGCGGTGTTTATGTGTATTTAGCTTTATCATTGCATATATATGTATTTGGTGTTGCACTAAGGCATTCTGTATGGGATTATTTAAAATAATATAATTACTTTTTTCTTTCTTTCTGCACATTTCGGGTATTTCCCTTCAGATCTGTCACGTGAGCAAAAATAATTTTGCATACCCACGACCGGGCAATTCCAATTTTATAGAACAAAAAAGAAAAAAAAAAGAAAAGCGTTTCCACAGATAGGCTTAACCGCTGCCGTTTTTTAGAGTATCGTCCTGCCATGTCGGTCTCAAGTGATTTTCTGAACTTCAGAGTGTCAAATTTATTAAACGCACGCAGACCGCCAGAACGAGACGAATTAAGTAGATGACGCGTCAAGTAGAGCGTCAGATACTTCTTGGTTCTATTTAACAAAAACAATCATCAATTAGGAAGGGTGATGCTTGTGTACAAACTGAATTAACCGGAAACTTGTCAAAAAGAAAGTTCAAGGCAAGGCAATGCCGGTTGATCCTTGTATTACAAATTGTTCGTTCGGCTACGCGCTATTTTAGGCCAGCTTCGATTTGGGCACGACGGTGCGTGTAAAGTACATCAGAGTGAAGAATTTGTATCTCTCCTTTCTGCATGATTCTTCACATAAGTCACTGTAGGTTAGGAAAGCGAGCGTTGTGATCGCCGCTTAGTGTTTCTACGAAAGGTAGACTGAAACGTCTTGCCATAAAACTTTTACAATATAATGAAAATAATATAGCTTTCAGCTCAATGTGCCGTCTGTTTTTATATAAAGTGAAACGTATTTCGTAAACTTTATTTGACAACATAGGTGGCGACGATGTCTTTATTCTGTAATTGTATACCCCGTAATTAATTCCTTACTTCATGAGCGCAACTATGATTCAACTTTTAAGACAGTAACGGAAAGTTGTCCCAATAACGGATATCGTAGGTGACCTACATCACTTCGTGACAACATTTCGACTCAGGTAAAATATATAAGATTGAGGTAAATGAATGGATGTTTAGTCACATCACCAGGACCTCTTGAATGTTCATTTGATTTTTTTTCCTGTTGAGTGAAAATTAAATAATGCAATTTCTTCTTTTTCATACCTGGTAACAAAAGTGTATTGTACAAAAGGTAAAAGCACTATATAGCTGCTTATTTCGTGGATGAAATAGTGCATATTGCCTAAAGAAAGCGGAAAATATCTAATCATTTTAGCGTTTCAAGTCGGTTCGAACTGGTTTTAACCTATTTGAAACGCTGTGTGCCGTTGTTTTTGCTCTCCGGACCTGAACCGGTATTCAACCGAAACTAAAAAAAAAAACAAAAAAACTCAAACCTTATTTTTTTTTTTTTAACCACTATGCTGGGGCGTGCCTCACGCAGTAGTGATACGCGACCGCACGCCGGTACCGTAAGTCGTGAACCCGAACCCTAACCGAAATTATCAAAATTTTGGTTCGATACTTTTTATTATAGACGAAAGATAATAATAGACTTTTTTTTTATACGAGAAATGTGTTATTTAGGCCGTCTTGCAAAACAGGCGTGATTGAAATTGTGATTTTAAACATTACTTAAACCACGATTTAAATAATCTTTGTTTTTTCTCCACCCGGCTCCGTCTCCTTTTTGTCCGTCTCCTTTTTGTTTTAGTATTTTTAGTTCAGACTTATCCAAGCTTCAATCTGTCGGATCAGTAGGCGGAGCAGAATGTTGTTGTCTGAGCCATAACAAGAGCTATAGAATATTTTGATGACGGTCAATAAACTTTGGAACTATTATGTGCCAGCTAATGCAAGTGTTCTCAAAGGCATTTAGGTGATTCTTTTTATACTTAATTATTGTTATTCGAGAAACCTGTCGTGGCTGTCCAGCTTTGTCCGGAAGGAATATTATTCAATATTATTTCAAGTTTTATTTAGTAACATTCCGTCGTTGGTGGAACATCATGCAAAGTTAAATTTGTTGGTGAGGGTCCGTGGTGTATAAACCTCCCCGAACGGCTAGCTACAAGTTAGACGGCTCATTCAGCCACTAGAGGGCACATTGCTGTATCGTCGCCTACGGACGTTGTGTCCAACACTCTAAACTAAAGTTGAAAAAAATTGTAGGAGTGTTTTGCAAATTAATCCTCCTCTATGTCGATATTTACCTTCCCAATGCAAGGGCATGTGTTAGGATCTGTCTTTAGAAAATAAAAGTGATAAACATTATGTATTAGTTTACTTCTCAAAAAACACCAATTACTGTCATTCGTAGTTTACAATAGAGGTCATTATAGAATCAACCCAATAGCTATCGATAGACATTTTATGTGGAAGGATTAATTATTTATTTATAATATGACGCCCCCACCCCGTTTTCAGATGACTACACTTTCTACATTAGGGATCTCAAACACGCGGCCCGCGGCTTTCTGGAATGCTGTCCGCAAAGATCCCGTGGCGGCGAGATCCCGTGCTTATGCCTCAAGCGATGCATGCGCCATAAATATTGAACCCTTGTCGTCCATTCAATTGCTTTGAAAACATAGATCGACTCTTATGACGCTTTACAATCTCACCGATCTGTTTTCTTTCAGATCAAGGATTGTTTCCTCTATCATACCGTTAAGACACAAGTATATTCTTATAATTCTGATACAGAAAAAGTCAGATATACAAGATCTACCTTACGAAAAAGTTTTTTTTTTTCGATACATTGAACTCGGATAAGTACCTAGTGGATTGAGCGTGATAGAAACCATTGTGCGCCTTGTATCCAGTTCGATTGAATAATGCCAGCGTGTTGGCGAAGGTGTGGTATTTTCAATCTTACAATCAGACTAGGTACAAATGCAAAGTATAGTTGTATGAACAAATCAAAGATAGAGACGTGACTGCCAAGACGAGTATACTACAGAAAGCAGATAACACAAGGCACCCACTTTAGATAATCTCTGGGTGTTGCTGCAGGACTCAGCTACTTCGCAACGTGGAACATCATCGCAGATTATTTTTTCCTAAATATATGTTTTTTCCACCTGATGTCGGTCCTTATAATTTCGGGGTGACCTGTCCGGCCCCCGCGCTTAAATGAATTTGAGACCCCTGCATGATTTTTCACTCGCGTACTCCATTTATCTCTCTCTCTGTCCTTTCTACAGGGGGCAGGTATATAGGTAGGAGGCGATAAAACAAGCAATAACCTACTTACGCTTGTTTTCCCGGAAACCTAGTCTGTGTATAAGCAGTTCTAAACGCAGCCAGAAAATGATCAATAAAAAAGCACCTTTTAGCGACGTTAATTATTATTTTCCGTGTAGGTGAAACATGCTGGCGCTTCTATGGATGGAAATAGATCACGGACGTTTCCGATCCAGAAACCGACTGTAGATTTACAGTGTTCATGAAATGTAATCTGCGAAGATATCATAAAAAAATAAACCCTTATAAGAAGTCTAAAAATATTTTGCACATACGGTTTAAATAATCTGCCTAAATTGTTAGGAAATATTCGCAGGCCGACAATTAGCCAGGGCGAGCATTCAAAAGCAGCAATCAGATTGTTAAAAACAAAATGGCCATATAGGGCGCTCGTACAGAGCCTTTCATCGGCTATCTTATATACGACAAAGTAAAAGGCCGCGGAATTCCCGGCCGTTCTGTTTGTTGCTGTATTTACAGTAGGATTCTCAGCTTCCAGGGAACAGATTAGCTCAGGGAAAAGGCGGCTTTTCTGAAACGTGGTACAATTGTGTTTATCTGTCATAAAATGACATAAATCTATTTCTGAACTATATTGCCTTGACAATTACGTTAATATCAGTTCGTTTTGTTCATTCATAATAGCCCTATTGACCCTTGCCATCTTGTGCGTAATGCCAGAGAAATTTCTGAGACACCAGCCAAGAGGATCCCTCGTATGTCACCGTCAATTGGCAGTTCTGACAATAGACAGCAATTGTGTTATATTCTCATTTTCATGGTGGTTCGTTTGATCTCTCGAATATTGCTCACATGTTAGTGTAAGGCCTCTAATCACTGCGCAGGTGGCATCCTTATAGAGCAGCATGTAGTCGGTAGAAATATATCATATTTTCAGGAAGGCAGTGAAAGAAGAAAAAAAAGAGCTCGAAATGCACGCGCACGCCCTTTTTTTCCAAGAATTTTCGCCGAACTGGTAAAGTCACGCACAATTCTCTATACACGTGAGGAGAAGTATGAGAACTGAGGAGATTGCTAAAAATGGCGGACGCGAACGTCACATAAGCTACTTCCTGCCCAACATTAAGGCCTTGATTTTTGCGTAGGCTCCAGCGTCGCGTATGTGCACTTGGTAAAGTTGCAGTTGTGGAAACTGCTTTCTAAACGACAGAACTTTCTCGTATTACATAGGCATTGCCAACTCTATTATCAAGCAGTTTTCTGAAGCCTATCAGATCAGCACAGGGAAGGAAATCAAAATTATGGACAAGAGACAAATCTATTCCTAGAATATGCCCGTGTTTCCGTGCACCGGAAGCGCGTAGGCGACCGACAAGTGTCAAACATATCATAAAATGCTCGATACCAGCAATTGCCGGTTCATTCTTTCCACTGCAAATCTAGTCGCCAGGTCCAAGAGACATGTCGCATCCCGCCGAGTACGCAATATTTGGGATACTCCTGCTCGCGACACTTGGCCCTGGAATCTTTTTTGCGCTTAAGAGAACCGGCCCAGTAACCGTAGAAGAAGTATTCTTGGGAAGCCGTACCCTTGCGACAATACCCCTTGCTCTATCCGCGCTGGCGTCTCTCATGTCGTCGGCTGGTCTAATCGCCTTCACTGCCCACTACTACGCGTATGGGATGCACATGGCCTGGTCCTTCATCACCATCCAGTTATGCCTCCCCGTCACTGTTCACATCATAGTTCCAGTACTCTACCGACTAAAGATCACCTCCCTTTTTGAGGTAAGGTTAACTACAAGCTTCATTTACTACTTTACATAGCCGCGATGCTACGTATTTAATAAGAACATGAGTATTGTGTTCAATATTACTCGAGTGAAAGGATGTCACGATTACGGAAAAGATTGTAATGAAACGTTGGAAAACGTTGGAAATCCGTTGAATTTTTTCTCAATGGTACATTGAGAAAAAATTCAACGAATTTCAAAGGAAGACCCCACAAAAGTCAGCTTAAAATTGTAAAAAGAAAACAAAGTGTGCTCTAATTATGTATTTATCAAACACCAACTTTGATGGAATGAGCTCATGTATCAAAATACAAGTTATATACTTAGGTTTAAGCGGTTCCATACCGTCAAGGACGGGTAGATTAAAATGTTTAATAAAAAAAAGTGCCGTTTCAATTTTTTCACAAGTGCTCGAACGTGCCAAGCATGTTCGTTATCAAAAGCTTTTCATGGCGGTATTTTTGAACATAAGATTATGTGTATAACGCGTACATTTAAAGTAGTCTGTTTAGTAGATCATGCAGGACTGTGTTTATGGCCTATTATTATACAAAACAATGTCGTTCTTACCGATTTCATAGCCACGTTTTTTTTACTAATTTGGATCAAGTTGAAAACGGTTTGCCTTTTTTGCGTTTTGGTAAATAAGCTGGGTAATCCGATATGAGTCTGAAGATCGGATGCATTTTAAACTAGCGCCTTCTATATAAGTTCCGTTACCTTGTCAATTCAATTTATTGGTGTCGTTTGCAAGAAACGACTTCCCATGACACGAGCACTCTAAAAGGTGCCTGCGCGTCTACTTACCCTCAAAATACTCAAAGAGCCAATATTTGGAATCTACGAAATTAGCTCACCGAAGCCTACGCTGTGGCATTACGCAATGCAAATTGCGTCATGCTTGCAGTGCGTAATGCCACTGCGCAGACTTTCTTTTGAGGTCTAAACGGATGTTCCGCCTCATCGTTCACTGAGCTGATTTCCTAGATCGCAGAGATTGGCTGTTCGAGTTGTTTTGCGTGTAAGTTGACGCGCATGCATTTTTAAGAGAGGTAAGGGTCGGGTGGGCATCATCTAACTGCGAATATACACTTAAAATTAAGTTAAGCGAACGTGTAACAAGGTCGGTTGATCCTCTACTTCAGCTGTGTTTCCACATTTCGACACGGACGCGCCATGGAAATTGATTACTCTATGATAAATGTAGCGGGTAACCCTAATAAATACTCTCCGACGAAACGTTATCCCAGTGACTCCCTGTGTCTCTTATAGCGAACGGTTGCATTCACCGCGCACGATAGTCTTCCGGCTGCTTTTGTGGTAAAGGCTGCTCCAATATACAAGGCATTGAGTAACATATATAGAATCAACATGAACTCGTTGCTAAGTACACAAAGGGCACTATAGTCACATACAATATGATGTATAAACATGCGTTGACTTTTTATTTCCTCTTACTGTGTGAATAACAGAAAGCGCAGTGGCAGGCTAACAATATCATAACCGAGTCCACATTTCCATGTATTCCTATTTAAACGAGATTTTCTGAGAATCTTAACGTTGTCTTTTTTGTTTTGTTTATGAAGATGCATATTTTGCTCCATCGTAAACACAATAACATCCACAACTGGTCGGAACCGAAGAGGCTTTCAAATCATGTTTTTCACGTGTCAATCATTAAGGCTGAATCAACGTCGCAAATTAAGCCACAGCTATAGTAAGTTACAGCTCAAAAAGGGAGGGCAAAGGAAAGGAAAGCTGGACAGTAGGGGAAACCTCCTCTCTCCAGCGTCCCGTGTGCTTCCTCCGCGCCGGCCTTCCTTTCTCTCGCCCTACCTTCTTGAGTTGCGACGTCTATCAATACAAACGCTTAAGCATACGCATATTCTTATGTCGTCAGAGTTAATGTAACCCATAACTGTGCTCTCTTTTACAGTACCTGCGTCTTCGTTACGGAAGGAAAATCTCGCTTACAGCCTGCGTAATTTACTTCATCCTAACGGTAGGGGAACAAAAATCAATCCACAACGTTCTCATTTGTTTTATTTATCCGGGATTGATTGCTGAATTATTTCTATATCACTGATACTTCAAATTGCGCCAAGCACTGCACAGTTTACGTGGCTTGTCTTTTTACATAATAACGCTTATTTATATTCTCCACTACTTAAGTGGGTTCAGGATGTTCTATTGCACAACATTTTTAAATAATACCTACAAATATATGTATCAGTTTAGCGCTGACGCCGCAAAATATATAATTCAACTACTGTTCCAATCACTTCGATAATGTGATAGCCCAACAAGATAGCGCATTACTCACGTCAGATGCGTTGAGGCAGTATCATACAATGCAAATTTACGCGACTTTGCCATATATGCATGTGTAAATTCACACTGTATGTATACTGCTAGATACAATAAAAAATTCACATTGTTTACCTTCTGCGTTCTACACACACGATGCACGCTTCTATTTTGTGATTTGTCTGAATTAAATAACTTGTATTGCAATACGTATTCGATTTCATTTTCATACTTAGCGCTGCAAACGTTCCCAGAAGGCCGGAGGAAAACACTTCTCTCTGAGCTCGAACCAATTCCAACTTTCCCTTAAGAAGTTTAAACATGAAATCGTCAGACATGCACTCCTAATAACGCAAGCTATCAAAATATCAAAGCCACTTAATTTATTGACTTAGAAAAAACTAAAACAACATTGTGTTAAAATAAACTCTAGTCAAACATAAAAGAAAAAAAGTATTTGCGCAGTCCGGACTATTTTTATTACTAAGTTTTCGATCAGCCTTACAACGGTGAAAGCATTTAGGGAGGTCCCGTCGTAGCACAGTTGCTCTTTGGCCATAATTATGGGTTCGTAAAAAATGTTGGGTCTTAAAACACGCGAATGAGCCAAGGTAAAGCCACTTGGCCTTCTTTGGCCGGTATGGGAATCTTGGCCCTAATTCTCCAAACAAGTGCCAAATTGCGCAACTAGGTCTATCGTTAGGCTTCCCGTCTAGTTTTGATGTGGCAACTCTTTTAGCGATTTATTTGTGTACCCTAAAGGCCCACACTTGCATTTTATAGTGGGCCAACAGCACTACAGTAGTTATAAAAAAGGCCAAGCAGCAACAGCCAAAAATGAAAAATATTCGATGCGCATATAGAAAACACACTTCGACGGATTCCAGCATTCTTAGCAGTAATTGAAATATATACATAAAAAATGAACTGTAAGAGATGGTACACAAAACAGAAAACGAAAATGTCAATTAAATTTATAGTACTCAAGCAGCATCATGTTTACGGCACCAACAAAGACTCATGATCAATGATGGAGAGAGATGAGACGAATTTCTCAACATGTTGGTTCATGCAGAAACGGGGTGAATTTTGATAAGGTGACCAAAACGGGGCGATATATGGTGAGCTCTCCGCAAGAAAATATATTTAGAAGATGATGTGCTATGGTAGAGTTTCAAAATAAATTATTGGCGGGCATGGTGTCTTCTGGTATGGAGTGTTGATAAGTTAAGTCGCCTATTTTATACCGGCTACTCTACTCAATGGGAAGGGGTCTCGAACTAAGAAACGAGCGGCTTTATTTTATAGTGATCCTATATAGTGTATACTCTCGCAGATATGACTTGTGAGGATGCCAAATGATGCAAGCATAATCCTGTTGGGACCTAACAAGAGCAGCTTAGGACACGGACAAAGCGTCGAAAACAAGTTTTCGACGCGTTGTTAGTAGTATGGTGAATTTGAGTGCCCGCCCCAGGTCATCTCAGATGAAAGGTGAACACCAAGATATTTACACGAAGATATATTTTCGATGGGATCATTTCTGATTAACTGCGTGTACGTGGAGTGGAATGGCGTTTTGTGGTGAATGCTATAGATTGTATTGTTTATATTTATTCTTATCAACCTCGTTGCGCGCAACTCGAAGATTATATAGAAGTCATCCTGTAAACTTTTGTAATCCAGATGACCCGCAATTTAACGGTAAATGACGCAATCATCTGAAAACAGACCAGTGAAAGATTGGGTGCTAAAATGGAGATCTCTGGCATGTATCAAAAAGCACAGGACCAAGAACCGATCCCTGCGAGACACCGAACGTCACAGCAAGGGATCAGGAAATCCCTTGACCAAACACAATAGACAAGCGTCTGTTAGTTAAGAAGGTTCTTATCCATTTAACGACGAAGATAGATAAGTTACATTCATCCGGTTTATATACTAGCCGTTAATGAAAAATGCCATTAAAGTCTTCGGCGAAATCAATGAACAGAGTCTCAAAAGCAATGGACGAGTGAACAGAATTATGGAGATGTGTAACTAGCTCGAACAGCCGCCTCTCGCACACACGGCCACACAAGTGCCTACTCTCGTTTGGCACGGACGGCGAGGCAGGTGCCAGATTGAGGCTTCACTGCTGGCTCCTCGGTTTATACGTGACACCTTTGGCTCAAGTCTGTGATATTGGCAACTATGTAGGTATCCAAAGAAACGGCCCAGTAACATCAAAGAAAAGTGCTTTGGCACAATATAGCGCCTTGAAGCTAAGCCGTATCAGGCCAAAGGTAAGCCCTTGGGAGGCCAGTTAAAGATGCCACTCTGAAAGCAGTTATAAAGCTGCGACCGATTCTGAATATAGAGGAGGTATTCTTCGTCGCCAGTAAAAATGATAGTTGAAAGGAGCGCCTTTTCAATAAATACTTCATGCATTGAGTTTCATTTTGTATAATTTCAGCAAAGCCTAGGAGCGGTGGCAATTTTCTCAGCAGCAATGGCAGTCGCGACAAGTGAGTGACTTCACTGCCGTGCCTTGCGAGGGGGAGCTCACCAATAACACTAATATTTAAATTCTCCCGACCAGTATTTCAAGTCTCGTTCCTGTGGTGCTGCGTCGTCATCGGATTCACGGGAACTTTCTACACAGCACTGGTATTTAATGAACCCTCTAAAGATAACTTTCTTTAAGTTATAAAGAGTTTTGGACGTTGGTATTTGGCTGAAACCTTACCTAAAGAACTTTGGAGGTCGGTCTTGGAACTTTTCGACAAACGATAAATTATAGTAGGATCAATGAATAAACCATGCGATATGACAGAAAGAATAATGTGATTACGAGAAGTTACATACTATGTCAGGCAACGCAAATTCTGTTTTTAGGCTTATTTTGTTATCTGCATAACTTCCTTTGTAGATGACAGTGATCACCTTTCTGAATGATCTGCGGCAAGTAGAAGGAAGGTTGACATTTAACAGGAACGAATAGTATCTCCGATAATTTTTAAAAAGTCCAAAATGGAAAACTTTAGTTGGGGCGGAAAGAACGTGTACGCAAATAAAACAAACAACACAAGATATTTTAAAATTATTTAAAGTTTAAAGAAGTTAGACCGCACTTGGTAGGAGAATTGAATTCCCAATTGTAAACAATAATATTTAAAAAAACCTCCGAGAACGACGAAGTCACCAGTTAATAATGGACGCCCGGCGCCTCAATATGAGTGACATTTATAGGATATAGAAATTTCATCTGTTTGCCTTCATCAGCCTAACCAACCGAAAGCGTTAACGTAACCAAAGCTTGGGGTGTTTAATACCTAACATGTATGTGAATATGAATATAAATTTCGGAAAGTTCCTGGAAAATATAACGGCTATGTTTTGCGTCAACGTCAAAAGGCAGGGACGGCTCTTTAATTTAATATATATTCATATGTGTGTGTTTGTGTTTGTGCGTGTGTGCGCGCGCGCGGGCGCGTGTGTGTGCGTGTGTGTGATTATTGGCAATATCTAAGCATCAATAAAAATCCATCGATTCTACTGAAGACTAATTATATCACACTGTATATTAAGCATATAAAATATACAAAGGGTTTTCTTAACATTTAATAAATCGTATTTAAGATGTCGTGAAGGCTACACTAATGCGATTTATGGAGGTGTTATACGTCTAAAGGGCATGTTATAGGAGGCTAATCGTAAGAGTACGTTTGATAGTTACTAATATGCTTTAATAAACATTTTATCTAATAAAACAAACCTCTAGCTTTCATAGAAAACGTTATTATGAATGTGAAAGAACACTAAATTATTTAAATTTAGATGTATTTGAAGTGGATGGAAAAGCACGGCAGTGCGTTAAGTTATCGCTCGTGCAACCGTCACGAAACAGGTGATGCGAAAGGCGGATGATAAAAGGGAATTTACCACTCGTGCTTTCGCCTGTTCCATGAGTGGTAAATTTAGCTTAACGCCGCGCTTCTCATGCGCTTCAAGCGATTTTGAAATTGACGGATTGAGTATTCTTTGAAAATAATTAGCAAGTTTGATATTGAAACTATATACTTATCTTTGCTACTTAAAGTATAATTTACAAAATATGTTTAATTAGCCGGTATATTATGACGATGAGCCTCCTATATTCTGACCGCGTGCAATATGAGTAACCTCGACCAACTGCATTTGTGTAGGTTTTATGACTTCGTTTCTCCAACCTGTAAAGCCTAACACACGTCTTGTATAAGCTCATGTAAGGACTTACAGGCATGTAATATAATTAATGTATGTCGTGATATCTCTGGCAGAGCGAAATACATAGTTTTATTTAGGTAAGATTAATAAATCAATGATTTAAATGCAGTTATATTTCAGTTTTGTCAAAAAAGATCGCCAGTTCTGGCTGCACAAAATGTTCCAAAATATTTGTCAATAAACTTAAATATCTACGGCATTAGTGTACCTGCAGTAGAGCTAGTTATTTTTAGAGTGACTTTCTATTTATAGTTTTTTTATGTTGTAGTTCCTAATTAATTACCTTGTACTTGCAGGGAGGACTAAAAGGCGTAGTATGGACGGATTGCTTGCAGGCTGTGATCACCATAATTGCGCCTATTACAATCATTGTCAAGATAATCTACGACTCTACCAGCGGCCAATTCAAGCTTCGTCCTTTGAGTGATATCAACTTAAAAGTATACATGTTCGAGTAAGAAACTTTACTTGACCGAATATATACCTTTTGGCATCCTAGATACTACGAAACCACAAAGAAATGTCAATTACATAATGTTACTTACGTATAGTCAACCTCATTCGAAAATCAAACATAAATATCGTAAATATTACTAATACGCGAATACAAACACAAGCAAACTATTATAAAATGTATCTTAGAATACTATTAAATGCATTATTATTATTATTATTATTATTATTATTATTATTATTATTATTATTATTATTATTATTATTATTATTATGAGAAGAATAACACAAAGAAAATTACAGACTTATTTGACCTAGCTTAGAGGAGTTTCATTAATTTTGCAACGCTACATATAAGAACAAGCGAAAGTAGGCGCTGAGAAGCCCGCAGTGAGTTTTCTCCTCATAGACCTGACTGCCCTCATTAGAAGCTAGCTATTTTTTTAAATATGCTGTATCATGCAACCCTTCATAACTTACTCTAATTTGAAATGATTAGAGATAAGACGGGCTAGTAGTGAATTTTCAGTAAACAGTTACGATTTACTAAGATGACTCTGAATATCGTTATCCAATTGAAACCTGGTATTATATGACAGGATCTTTATGCTATTGGTGAATTACTAGATTTAATAACATAGAGAAAGCGACAAAATATGATTTTAGAAGAAGTCGAAGTATGCGCACATGGATTCGGTGGTGTTTCCAGGTTGAAAACGCGGCTCCTGCTAGAGGAGAACCCCGAGATATGGTCACTTGCTCCGATTGTCTTCTGAACTTACTTTCGTTTAAACTCTTATAATTGGTGAAATTGGGGGAATTTAGAATGCTCTCCCGACCTTGCAAACTATAGTTCATAAAATATGCAACTAGATAAATGCTACTCAAACAAAAATATTTTACAATATTATAAACGATAAATATTTGTTTTTTTTCTAATTTTCAGCCCGTCATAAAATCAAACACAGTATTCAAAAAACCAATTTCATAGCAACTCCCAGCTTCACAGGAATTGTTTCACCTCTACACGTGGCAGGGAATCCGTCGGTTTTAATATAAAATTTCGAAATCGGCAAGTCTTTTTGGTAAGACGACCGGATGTTTAATAATTATTAAGGACAGACGTTGTCCGGATGAAAAAAATAAAAAGAAACAATTTATCCTGTTAATCGTTAACCGAGCTTTCCGCGAACTGGCGTTGTAACAGATGACAAGCTGACCTGAAAAATATGATAGATAACGTAAGATAATACGTACTTCTGACGTTAAAAATCTCAGCATATCCTTTTTACAGGGTAACTGTACAATTAATGTTGGCACCCAGCCACCAGTAAAAATTCTACATTGTTTTTCTAAAAAAGCTAAAGCAAAATTTGAAAGCGTGTGTCCTCCAGTGTTCATTAATTACACTCTTGTTTTATACGCCTAATGCTTCAACACTAAGCCATTTGTAGCAAATTTATTGCTGCGATGCTCGTCTATGATCAATAAAAAAGTAAACACCAGGTTCTTGGAAACCATTTTTGCCTTAATGTAAAAGGAGTAGTATTATACCCGTACAATCTTCCTCTCGGAAAAAACCTATGTTCACTTAAATACGAGATATAAAATGTAGCAGTCAACACTTCTTTTTTAATATTTACATGACGAGTGTTGAAAAGAAAAATTCTTAAAAAAACTCATGCCCTTGGAAAGTATTTTTATCTTTCCACCTTTTATGTGCCATTATTTTGCCAGGAATGAAAAGAAGGTTAACGACGGACCTCGCGATGATTCTGGACTCAAATTGTGTAATAATATGCTCAATTTTAGGCAACACTGTTTCTGAAGTGACTGATATGAACGGACCTCAATTTCTGTACACAAGGAAATGATACGTTGCTACTTAAAAATTGGTTTGGGTCAATTGCTTATGTATAAAAACTATAGAATGATTACAAGTATGAGGGTGGGAATACTAAAAGTTTTGCTCCAATCTTAATCGAGTTTAATAGAGCCGAATAGTGACCAAATTCTCTCAAGTAGAATCGAATACAGATACCAAGACATCTGTTGGAAATTCACGGAAACAGACAAAATACGGCTCCTACTAAACCTAGTCTGCGCACTTATTAAAGCCATCAGCCTTAGTATCATCTTCAGGCCACTTTGAAGTGTGTCTCTGACTGTTTATTCTTAGTGGGAAAATGATGTCGCATCACTCAATACCATGTCACCTTTACAAAAATGCAGTTACCGCGCTAGATTGAGTGAGAAAATTGACGTAAGTTGCCCTTAAAACCCGTGTTCAGTTTCCACGCTAAAATTAAAGAGAAAATGTGTCAAGACTTCATGTCACGTGACCTATATACAAACTCAGTTTCGTCACTAGGTTTAGCGAAAACATTTTCGTCACGTGACACCCTGTCACGTAGCTTGTTCAACAATTCAGTCTTCCCGCTTGATTAAGCGGGAAACAATTGACGTCGCTTGACCTTAACACCGATCGACTTTCCCCAGCAATATTAGTGTGGAAAATGACGTCGCGTGACTTATTTAACGTGACCTACCCACAAACTCAATTTCAAGCTAGATTAAGCGAGAAAATTGATGTCACACGATTTCAGCACCAATTACGTTTTCCCGCAGAATTTAACGGGGAAAATGACGTCGCATCACTTGATGGCAATTGACCTCAGCACCAATTCAGCATTCCCCCAAAAATTTAGCGAGGAAAAAGATTGCTTAATTAGAAATATGTTTTTTTTTTCGAAGACCATGCGGAACGGGAGGGCGCCTTTCATAAAAAGGTTTTAATGACCGTCCGGTAATACTCATCGAAGGGCAACTGAACGATGCGCCACCCATCCATCCACGCAATGGCGTCGGGGAGAGGGGGGGGGGGAGGGGGGTAACCTCCATTACGTCTGAAATGTTATAGCCCCCTGCCACCCTGGTTCCCACGTCACTGCTTCCACTCGTGAACATGTTGTATACACCACTTAATACGCTCGATGGATGGACGAATAGGACAAATACGGCCTAGCTCTTCAAATCAGGTGTACACAACATGTTCACGAGTACCTCTGAGCTGCAGCATTTCACTTGGCACTTCGGAAAGCGAAGGGTTAACGGAAGAGGCGGCTCATTTGTCCCTATCAGTGTCATTCCAATCAATTGTCATGTTCTTGACGTAAGAAGCGAAAAAGCCCTCTGACTCATTTTGGAGCTCAGCTCTTAGGCTCCCGTTTCCAGCTTGAGCGGCGTCGCCCTCGCCGTCACCGTCGGCGTAACCGCGAGATGCATTATGTGTAAATTTCCCCGCTTAATTTAATCGAAACTGTTCCCCACTCAATTTAGCAGAAAATTTTCCCACTAAATTTAGCGGAAACTTTTCCCCATTAAATTTAGCGGAAAAAATTCCCGGCTAAACGTAGCGGGAAAAATTCCCCGCTAAATTTATGTCACGTGACCCCCGTCAGGTTACGTGACCCTCCTGAGGTCACGTGACCCCCTCAGGTCAATGACCCCCCGAGGTCACGCGACCACCCCCTGAGGTCACGTTACCCCCCTCAGGTCATGTGACCCCCTGAGGTCGCGTGACCTCCCCTAAGGTCACGTTATCCCCTAAGTTCACGTGACCCCCTGAGGTCACGTGACCCCCCTTGATGTCTCGTGACCCCCTGAGGTCATGTGACCCCCTTGATGTCACGTAACCCCCCTGGGGTCACGTGACCCCCCCCTAAGGTCACGTGACCCCCCTTGATGTCTCGTAATTCCCCCTGAGGTCACGTGACCCCTCTCTGAGGTCACGTGACCCCCCTGAGGTCGCGTGACCTCAGGGAGTCACCTATCCCTCAGTACCCTTCCACCCTCCTCCTCAAGAGCTGCGCTCTAATCCGGCGTTCCACGGCTTTCATTTTTTTTTCACTCTCTGATTTGTAGTTTACAGCTTGGTGCGGGTCACGCAAGATACTTGAATTAAAAATGACGGTGTGCGTCGTTCGCGGGTTTTCGTCGAGCTCGTAGATCAAACTCGAAAGCAGTTCATTGGTGTAAGGAAAGCGCAATCCAATTTATGTTTTATAAAAATGATGAATCAATCAAATTTTCACCAATGCAGGCAAGATTGAAACCCAGCAGACGCATGCTAGGACAATGTCACGATAAGGAGAGCGTTCTTGGATAGAATCCCACTTTGTCGGCGGTAGTGATATCTTCCTCGTCGAATAAGCCAAAAACTCGAATACTAAAAATGCTAAAGTCGATTTAAATTATACAGTCAATCGGTATTTGACTCGAATTTGAAATTCGAGTATTCGCCCACGCCTATCGTTAGGAATAAACACGTCCGTGAGTCCAGGCGTCCATGACGTTTACGCCCTCAACGCATGTGTTCAGTTCCCTAGGAAAAGGTGGTGTTGTAAAAGTGTACAACGCTTGGTATAAATTTTAGTGATAATGTTAACGACAAATATTTATATTAACCTTGTATGCAGCAGACACGCACGCTCCGTGGTATGACTAAAGTCTTGGAATTGTATCATGGATATCCACCCACTAAACCTAAGTAATAACTCGAACAATTAAAATAGCTGATTCATTCATCTCTTTTATGTAAAGTGTATTGTCAACGAGGCATAATAATCATGGCATAATAATCATGGCATAATAATTATTGAGACGTTTGACATCTCATTTATTTCTGTTTCTTAATTTTTATTACTCAAAATGACCATCATCCTCTAAGTAGTAGATTTGCACATTAACCAAAATTAGACGACAGAGACTGACGTCAGGTTTCTTAGTGGCAATCTGACCCAAACGTCATGTTACTTACAGCGAAGCGCGGAGATATGCTTACTTTTATTTGTTTTTCACCTATCTGTTAGGTCTCAGTAGTAAGTGTTTATAGAACGGAGTAGGCTATACCGCAAAAATTCTCTGATTGGATGGCGTATAAATACTAATAAAGTAAGTAAATTACACTAAATTCCTACATGCTACTACACTGAACGAAGTATTGCTCAGAGACCTTCAAAGGCATTTTGAAAAATGTGATATTTTCTTTATTATTTCATTAAGAGGAGTAATATAAATGAGTAGTAGTCGCAGTCGTACGCTCACGTGCTTTATAGTTTGTTTTATATTTGTTAATCGTAATCTTTACTGACAATATAAACGTGTCTATTTATGATTTTTTTTTGCATTTGCTTTATATTTTGGTTATTGAACGCTCCCTTTTGTTGGGTGTGCCAGTGCCAATGCCGCAAAGATGTTCCTGAGTACCAAATGAAACAAATGATTAATTATTTTTCATTAAAGCCATTAATTAAACTGCCATATCAAATGTTATAATTTACACTGATTTAATATATCACCTATTTTCAGTACCAAGATCGACTTCACAAGAGATGAAAATCTCTGGTCCTGTCTTATCGGCGTCGCCGCGGCGCATATGTATAGGTCAGGCCTCGACCAAATGGTGGTCCAGAGATACATGGCATCAAGAACCCTCGAGGATGCCAAAAGGTATTATTTTACTGTTCCTGTAATAGTTAGTAACCTAATAAGTGATTGTTACTTCAGTCTATAAACAAAGTATAATGACAAAAAAAATTTTTTTTTTCAAGTACACAGAACTAACCGCGAATCCATGGCCCTATGATAAAGTGAGCCCTCATGCCTGAAAAATTGAATAGCATAAAAATAAAAGTCTTGGTTAAGTTAATATAATAACACCTATGTGACCTCTCACTTTCTAAATACAAAGTTTATTCCACAGTTATAAACGAGTTAGCTCAGACCCAGTAAAGCTCCATAAATTTGCGTCGAAATCGGCAAACGTCGAAATATAAATATGCTAGATCATACTTAAAATGGAGAGCGTGCTGGTACGACTAACATAAATAGTGGGAAGAGCGTGAAACACAATGCCGGACAAGACGATTTTCATCAAATCCGTTCTTGTGTTTAATGTTCTTCCCATTATTTATAATATGACAAGATCACGTTGACTTCAAAGTAACGATTAAAAAAAGTGTATGTATTCCTAAGATTGTTCATAAAGTTCATATATAATTTATGGCAACGTCTCAAGAGATGCAAATAATTGATATATGTAAGTTTATTACAAACCAAGTCTTGTCGACACTACATTGAGTGAGCCCACTTGTGACTGTGAGGCACATGAAAACAAGGGTGTGCGAAGGGTAAAATTATGCCCATTGCAATAGAACGCATTCGTTTGCGCCTGTCTCTTATTGTCCAAATTGAAGTCGTTGGCAGGTCAGTCTCCCTCACTGCATATAAGTTTTGTCTACTTAAGTTCATGGAGAAAACTCTGAACTCGTTGAGGTAAGAAAGTAACAGGATACTCCTCCTCCTCCAATCCTCCTCTTGCCTCCTCCTTATCCTTCTTTCCTTCACCTTTCACCGTCCTCTCCTCCTCCCGTCAAATTTCCCCGCTAAAGTTTTCTCTACATTTAGCGCAGTAATTTCCCTGCTAGATTTAGCGGGAAAATTAATGTCACCTCAACACAAATTCAGCTTCCCCGCTCAATTAAGCGGGAAAAATGAAGGCACATGACTTGCTGTCACGTCACCAATGAGCAAATTAAGTTTCTCTGCTAGATTAGGTGAAAAGCTTGACGTCACGTACCGCCAACACCAATTAAATTGGCCGCTAAATTTAGCCGGGCGGTTATGCCGATGGCGACGCCGACGCCGACGCCGCAAAACGCGAAAACAGGAACCTAAGAGATGCGCTTTGAAACTTTGTTTTGTAATCTATTGGAATACGTGTTACTAAAATATTGTATCCTGAATTGCAGTACAGCCCGTGCAGGAACTGCAATGTTGACTGGGTTCTACATCATACAAATGCTCATGTCATTCTTACTAATATACTGGTTTCGTGATTGTGACCCTCAACTGTCAGGAGCCATCAAGCAGATTGATCAGGTGAATAACGTATCTTCTTTTCACGCATGGTAAATCCATTATTGCTTACTTTTATGGCCAATATATATCCAGCAGAGTGCACAAAGAAATTAAAAAAGCATGATTTATTTGGCATTTTGGATTGTTGAATAATCCGTTACTTGAAAACAAAAGGTTATGAAGATATGTGTCCGAGAACTCATGACTGTGGTAGCGGCAGTAGGTTATATACATACTGCCGCTACCACAGCACAGGGGAGGCCCCCTGTGCTGTGGCAAGAAGCATAGAAACCCGATTGTCGGTTGCGCAGAGGGAGTCGTTTACGTGATTCGGTTGTCCTGCGGTAAAACGTACATCGGGCAAACAGGCAGATGCCTAAATGATAGGTTACGAGAGCACAATTTGAATGTTAATAACCACCGTGACGGCCATCTTTCAGTTCATTGTCACGATTGTGAATGCAGGCCCTTGTTCAACACGCGCGGAATTCTAGTCAAACACAAGGATAAGACGGTCAGGGAAATAATAGAAGCAGACTTGATAAAACAGTCTGGAGCACAATGTGTCAGCGTTGCCTCCTTTGACCTGTTGGACAAAGAGATAGCGTTTTTGCGAGCGACGGTGAGGCCCGGGATTGGCTGAGGTGAAGCGATGTGAGTGTATATATGCCCCCCCCCCCCCTAATTTCCAAAAATAAACAGTTGAAGTAGCACTCCGTGTTGTCTGTCTCTCTTTTGTCCTCGTCTTAAGCGCATTCATGACGTCAAAGTCCCAGTACCAACTAGCCCAACAATCTGCATTGATAGGCTATATAGCTTACTGATAAATCTAATATCTCGCTTTGACGCCTGAGAATTACCTGATAAAAGATTGGTTTTATCAGGGTTTAAAGAAACCACAAAGAATCGCATGCTGTTATTTTTACAGCTTCTTCCTTACTACGTCAAAAGATACTTGACAACGTTCACCGGATTCTCTGGTTTATTTCTGGCTGGAGCTGTAAGCGCGTCAACAAGGTACGTATACGCAGCCTACATTATCAACCAGCTTGCAGTTTCGTATCTTAAAAAAACAAAGACCATAAGCAAAACCACCCTAAATATAGTTCAATTAGAGCTATCAGCATTTCAGATTTTTTTTTTTTTAATTTGTACCAACCTGGATGAAAAAAAAATTAAGACGTAGCTGACTAGAAGGAGTGGCGTTTGTGGCGCTTTTTCTGTGAACGCGCCTACAAACGCTTCAGTCAAAAGCTCTTTCAGTCATCGGCATTCGTAAATAAAACCGAACTTAATGTATATCTGTGTTATTACAACACAGAGGCTGATAATGATACAAATAGGATGACGTGCTTTAAGTTTTTTAATAGGAGCCCACGTTTTACATTGCCTTATTTGGAATTTTAAGCATATTTGAAAATCATGCAGGCAAAATTCATTCTAAACCTCGCTATGCAGAACAACATGAGTTCCCCTAGTAAAAAATGTTTTACTCAAATAAAAGAAACATGACGTAATTCTGCCGGCTTTATTACGCTACGCAACTAAAGAAATAAAATATTCGAATACAATTGATAAAAGATATAGTCAAACAACAATTTAAGGCGAAGATGCCACGGGATGTAGCAATTTCTAATCTCTGTGTGACGAACCTTTCAAATTTTAGACGAGTTTACCTTAGTTTTAGTGAGCTAAAACATGCAAAAATATTGCACGTAAGCTACACAATTTAATGTTATTCTATTTAGATTTTATTGATACAAAAAATCACCATTAATGTCAGACGCTGTACTATAGAAAAACACGTCAATCGTAATCGAGCTTCGCGTGTGTGCAGAAATCTGTTATTATTTTCAACCTGTTATTTCAATGTATTGTCAAGAAGTAGATGTTAAGTAACTGTTTATTTTATTACAACATTGCGATCTCTGTTTACAGCACCATATCCTCCATCATCAACTCCCAGGCACTAATTCTCTACGTCGACGGGGTGTCGCAGTATTTTGACCTGACAGATCTTCAAGCAACTAGGATTACAAAGTTATTAGGTATGGTACACTTGACCAAGTCAAAAACCTTCTTTAGTTTTGTTATAAAAACGTACTCTCGCAAACCATGATGAGCTTAAACATTAATTTCTTCTTCTTTAGCGTACATGTCAAGTTTTTTTTTTTTTTTTTTTTTTTTTTTTTTACGGGGGGGGGGGGGGGGGGAGAGCTGCAATCCGATCTATGATCAGAGTCCTTAGTAGAATAATTCGGAGTATTTGACACATCGAGAAACATTAAAACTTGTTGGGACCACGGATGCAGGAAGGACCAGATTAGAATGTTCAGATTGTATGGACCGCGAGAGTACATCATATGAAATAAAAATAATAATAAATAACTCTATCAATTTAAAATCCACAACGATCCTGCTGCAAAAACAAATACCACTGTCGCGCGAAGGAACGCGCATGCATCTGCCTATCCGTCGGCGGTCTTGCCAAGTATATTTTGCTATTTTCATATTTACCTTTCAGTTGCGTTTTAGTTGTTTTCTTATGACAGATGATTGTTGTAGCTTGGAGGTGAATAGTTTTAAAAAGACGTAGTGCATAAAAAACATAAGACGTAATATGCTGAGCACTGTGGCTTTGTCGAAGGGCTGATAAAATAAGTTCCAAGCTCAACGACGAGCGAATGTAGAGATATTTGAAATTAATAATGACCTTAGGTATAATACATACATGTCCACACGGTCGATTGCACGCAATGAAACCCGATTACCTTTACGGAAGGTAAACAACCCACCACATTTCCGGATTAATTCAACCTCAATCTTTCATCTGGGATAAAACCATCAAAATAGCGGTAGCGCTACAAAAAATTGAAGCACGACACTTTACGCATAATTACTTTAATATGGCCTATAGTTTATACCCATGTCACATATGTAAATCCACGTCAGACCATACGATGATGGTTCGGGTTTTATTTTTATATTTATGTAAACAAGTATATTTGACAGCCATGTTTTGGGAGGACCGTTCCACTATATGTAAACATTGTAGGGGCCTATAAAATTTCGAAGCTCGAGGGGTGTAGAGTGCCAAGTTGTCACTATTTAGTAAAATGTTTACACCGGTATCTTGATATACTGTAATTCCTAAAGTTATTAAATTGATCGACAACGACGGAATGATGCTAATACAATTTTTAGCCTACAAAATGAGTGTGTTTGCCATTCGTTTAGAAGTTTGTGCGTACCCATGCCCGCCGGCACATGTGTCTGAGCCACTCCTCATGAGCCCAAATAAATATTTGATAGAAGGTGATTTTGAATTCCGTTGTTGAAGCACTTCAAGCTAAGAAGATAAATTCATAAATATTTTTGCAGACTTTTAAATTTGAAAACTTTACTAAATAAAGCGACTGAGAAAATATATATTTTATTTTCGAAATTTGTTTATTTGATGTTGTTTTATTAGGTCGTGCTTAAGAGAAAATCGAATCAATTGTCCTCAAACTAGAACAAACTATATACAAAATGTTGATATCCAACTTCGGCTTCTGCAAAGGAAAGAAGGCGAATATATAATGTACCAATATTAAATACAAACAAACCTAAGACTGTGGGATCTACCTAAGTTGTTACGCGAATTTGTCAGTATGTTTTGCATCTCTTCTCTTTTAAGAGTAACTTTAGTTTGTTCTAGCTGAAATAAGAAATTTTTGCCTGTTTTTCTGTCAATCACACACACACCACCAATTAGAGTGCTTAAACGCATCACATGGCTGCAGTGCAGCTTTCAAAGTAAAAAGTTCTTTTATCTGCGATAGGACTTTACTGGATGAATAAAAAATATTTGGATTTATGGGTTTTACCCCGGCGTGTGATCGTGGACACTTGGACCGCACAAGAACGATGAGCGAGCTACTGAATTAAATATTCTCTGTCCTGCTTCATTTTTTTTACCAATTGCTATTATGCATATACTTAAATACCTACATAATTAAAAAAAAAAAGTGATGTATCGTTTAAGTAAATTTACAAAAATAAATAACCTAGAGCAATTTACACTTCTGAAAAATCGGGTGAATCTAATTTTCGGCAAAAGCTCTTGAGAGAGTCTAAAGCAACAATCTTAAAAGGGAGTTCGGCAAATGACGAGGATACACGTTTGTAGACATACTCAGCTCTCTGACGTCAGCGCCATTGCGGTGGCACTGCTAGCGTCAATGCGCACTCGCAGACGCTTCACTGTTGGAGAATTCGGTTTCTGCGCACGCGCAGGTCCCACATCTGGTGTGTACAAAGCGGGGCTTGTTTGTAAACAGTGTGATGAGGTAGAAACTTTAAAAAACAAGCAAAAAAAACAGTCAATGTGCTGTGGCACCGAGTACGGCACTTCACAATGCTCTGAGTCACATCGCAGACTGTTTTGATTGACGACAAAATATATTTTTAGTGTCGCCATTCGCCTAGCTCCGTCTATAAACTGCACTGATTGACTTTACGAAGTACCTTGAAGGTAAACAGACGCTCCAGATTTCTTAGTGTGCATATCCGACATGCGAATGAGCTGGCTCGTGTTATATTTGATGAAATATATAACTAGCAATGCTCTTCCTTTAAGCACATGGCTGCAAATGCTTTGCAAACATAAAGCACATATATGTTCATTGCCACACTAGTCGTGAGTTTATAAACTATTTGTACGGCTGATTAAATTAAATGTGCCAAACAGTGTGGAAACCCACTGTATTCACTCACTTATAGAGTGATAATTTCACCCACCTCTGGGCTATACGTATAATGTGCTCTCTTACATGACCCCTAGATAAGTATTTCCTTTTTCTCATTACTTGTACATTCACAATAGACAACGTATTAAGTGCAATGATTACTACTCCAAATAGAATATCATTTCCTAGCACTTTCGAAGAATAGAAAGATCAAGTCCTTTAAGAATAGTTACCTTTAGTTATCTTGTAAAAATGTTACTCATGTGCGTGTCTGCATTATTTTTAGGATACTGTAGTTGCCTCTCGAAACCCGCAATATAAATTGATTTCTTTCTGCCTCTCGCAATTAGTTAACAACCATGTTTTTTTTGCGTTTTGTCTTTGTTCCCTGGGGTGTTTTTCCCCTTTTGTAATACTGTTTAAGCGAAATTCAACGTAATAATGAATAACAAATAATAAAATTCCCATATCTCATTGCCGTTGGCTTTTGGTTTGAGTACTTAAACGTCTTCTTAGTTTCTATTTACTTTGGCGAAACGTTTACTGTACTCTTGAGGCTTTATAAAGTGCCGGATACAAAATCCCTAAGAATCAAGCACGAAAGCAGACTTCACATTTGCTCCTAAAATTATAATGTTATATTTATGAACCATATTGCACTAAACACCTTTTTTCCACTTTCATCTCCTTTCCGAATAGCCTTCGTGGTCGGCACCATTATGACCATCTTTAGTGCTGTTATACCTTACTTGGGCTCTGCGACGAGGGTGAGTACGAATCAAAGCTTCCCATATTATCCGACACAGATACAACAAGAAATAAAAAGCAAAGAAAAAGCCATTGGTAGATTTAAGTTGTAAAAGAAAAATCGCTGTCTCTTTTCAATCACAGCAATAGTGTAGCTCGCACGTTACGACACATGAACTTATCTTTCTGTTTTTAATTAATACCAAAAAATGCAATATGTATTCCCGTGTATAACAAAAAGGAACATTATCTTACCTTTATAGCCTGTTTCAGCATACCATATCTACATATTCATGGCTACATTTACCATGTCATGACTATGAAGAGCACATATATGCAACGGACGTTTTTTCGCAAAATGCAAAATGAGACGCGGGTGACGCTTTTTTAAACCATTAATCATTATTAGATTTATAAGTCTCTCCGTAAATATTAGTGTAGGCTAATATGCACATTAAGCGAAAATGGGCGTCTGTCGTGTTACTTAAGGAGCGACGCGCCACATACGGTAAATAGGACAAAGAAAGCGTACAGAGAAATGTGTACACTTTCCGTGTCATGGGCGAAAGGTAAGAAGCACGCACTCATTGACTTTTGCCTTGCTCTATTTGCGGGTCCACGCTCGTTGCTCACGAGACGCCAAAGCGAGTTCGAAAGCGGAAGGATATCAAAGGTATACCGCCCTAAATTTACTGAAATTTGACCCGTGGATAGCTCAGTTCCTAGAGGTGTTCTCCGTAGAGGACGCAATTGCTGTCATCCAAGCGCAGACGTAAAGCTATCACGTGATTGGTGCCGCAGTCGATGACGTCACCGGGAACTTCCGCGAAAGAGGACCATGCGATTCCCCCATGAGGTTCCCACTAACGGCTGTCCCTGTGTTATGTTAATGCGCCCAGAAAACGAGGTAAAAGAGAAGACTAGATCGAGCGGGGACGTCAGAATGACGAGCTCTGGTTGAAATGATTAGTGGGAAGACTTAAAGCTAGCTGCCTTTGTCTCCACTGGATCTTCGAACACTTTCGGATTCAAAAGCCAAATGCTGGTCGCCTGAGTTTGGCGTTCTAGCGCGTTCGACGACTGCAGTGGAGCCAAAGGCAGCTAGCTGGCTTTAGGTATACCCACTAATCATAACAACCTGAGCTCGGCGTTCTGACATCTACACCCCCCCCCCCCCTTACCACCTTTTAAAGTTTATCGGACAATGACGCAACAGACGTTCTGACTAAGATGATCGATATCCTCGCAATTATGTG